TGTCCTTACCCAGTTGCTGGCTGTCCCACTGTGAACCTCTGGTTGACAAATGTGAGTATAATCCGCTAATGTTCCTAATCCTCGGGTCACATTAAAAAATGGATGAGAAATTAATCTGTTCTCAGGTCTGTCAGGTATATTTTTTCAGTGCCAGTGCTTGTTTTCAACCAAATCCTTCTGTATGGGTCAATACGACCTAACCTACAACCAAACCAGCCAGCCAAATCCCTCAAACCAGACTCTGTCAGATGTTCTCTGTCCTTTAGTCCTTGTACCGTGAAGATTTCATTATATTGGTGATTTTTAAAGATAAAGCGACCATAGGCTTAGTGAATGAAAAGTTTGTTTTTCTGCTTCTTTTAGCAGCTTTAAAATCAATTGGTGAGGATGAAGAGACAGAGAAACCTACTTTACAGCCAGAACAAAGTGGATGCCTTCCCTCCTCCGGCAGACAGAAAGTTACAAAGTTGGTCACACTCTGCTAATGCTTTCCAGTGTCCTCCTCCACATGAACGTGAACATCCAGTGTGTTTTGTGTCAGCGTCTGCCATATCTGCCCATACCATGCTATACCATGCATATGTGCTACCGTAACCGGGCTAATTTTATTGCTTCTGGCTGAGTGGATCAAAAAGACCCACATTCACTGTTTTTCTTCTGTTTGCTCTCCACCTTTCATGCTGTAATCTGTGCAAAAGGCAGAATTAAAGCAGCACTTCCCTGGAGCCAGCCTTCTCTTTTCAGATTGGTAAAAGAGGGGAAATTGGGAGGATGTGCTTGTTTTGGGGCAAAAGGATTGCAGGATTTACTCTCAGGTGAAAGTTCTGGATTTCAAAGGCCACGCGGCTTAAGTCGCGTTGCAGGAAAAACACAGACGAGCGGGTTCTTCCTCTTCTCAGAAATGTATTTCTAGGATCTTAAAAAAGATCATTTTAAGTTTTACAAAAGACAAACCCACAAACAAATAGACACCATATAGTGTTTCTAAAGTTTTTGTTTTTGGCAATAAAATGTGAACCAATTTTCATCAAACCAACAGCTATACACAAAGAGCACGGGGTGAATTTTAGACAGTTTATTGCAGAAAATATCCTGCATTACTCCTGATATATTTGGTCATTCTATTCCCTCTTGATAACAGCCATTCAAGCCGATGCAGTGGTATTTCCTTTACTTTCATCACTCCACAGCAGGTAATGGCAGTGTAACGGTGCTGTTTGCAATCCTTCCACTGTGGTGTCTTTCATTTGGCTACATTCCTTCTCAATAACTTACTGACAGTAACTTACTCAACCCAACCGGTTGTCGACAAAGAGCAACAGTGGGAACAATCTTATGATTTTTGTGTTTTTCTTTCTATGCATCAATGCAGGGTCTATCTTACAACATAAAGAGCCTTGAGGTGACTGTTGTTATGATTTCGAGCTGTATAAATTGAGTTGAGTTGAATTGAATTGAATACAGTAGACTCATGAACAAGTGTTAACTAAACAAATGGTTCCTTCTGTAGCTGTGCCTTGTTTTATTTATTTATTGGCATTTAATGCTAGGTATTAAAGTACTAATATATAATTAGCACTAATAGAAATACTATATAAAGGAAGCTATGTCGTCTTTTATGTGTAGATGTGGGCTGATGAAAATGACTTTTTTACTGTTTCCAGCTTTATTCAGAACAACGGTTCTTGACATTAGAAGATGTGTATTATGAACTTCAAATTCAGTTATTTGAGGGGTTTTTTCAGTTATTGTGTCTCTAACCTCAGTGACTTTTTTATTTCATAGCTAAAGATTTCACATGCTTCTTCCAGCACAGAAAATGTTAGCATTTTATATTCTCTATGTATGGACAATCTGTGTTTAGGTTCCAGAGCAACACAGTGTTGTCTTTTGTTATTTCAAATAAACAGCATTTGTTATTAATTGCATCTTAGATGAAGCTCTTATATATCAAGCCTCGGCTTTAGCTTTGGCTTCATCACTTGTGCCTGCAAGCCTGGGCTTGCAAACACACTCTGGTCAGAATATAACACATTCCCAATTCCTAACCAGGAAAATTACTATTTTGGTTCTTCTCAAGAGAAAGCGAAACCAGGACAACATAGATCAGTAGATCAGCTCACTGAACCACAAACTAATTTCAGACCTAGGCTTGGAGCCACACTGTCGCTAAAATATAAGTACTATACTTGCTTCTGCAAACCTGTTGCTGTGTATAATATAAAATATTTCTGAATTACAAACACATACATTATTATGATGCCATACGTACAGTATAGTAGCAACAGAATCACATCAGACTGCTGTACTCTAAAATATTACATTCATACTATTTTTCTTTCTGTAATTCCACAGGTCGCTTTTTACCATTGTTACAGTATTTTTGCTGCTTTGTATTTTGATACATTTAAAATAGTTTTATGTGTGTATATTTCATCTTCTGTTGAGCCAAGTGTGCCAAATTTCATGTCTTGTGCACTTGTTGTACACTGAATAACGATAAAAGCATGCGTGTCTGTTAACTGGAGCAGAATTCCTGTTAACATTAAAATAACTTCATAATTAAATAAAACCTCATTAGTATTTTTATTACCTGCATGTATTTCTTAGTATCACTGTAATATGTATGCCCTGTGTGGTGTTTGTTACATTATGCTTAGTTTTTTCTTTGTGCGTGTGGTTTTATTTAAACAGTAGATAATTATATTTTGTGTGAATTGTGTCTCATGAGACTGTGTGTTGTGGTAAGATTCATATTGTCCTTGTGCAACATAATTATTAACATTTGAATTAATTAGTTATATTGCTTTTCTGAACAAATCACAATATGAGTCCCAAGATTTAAATCTTAGAGTCCTTATATTAAAAAAAATAAACATTTACTATAAGAATGATTTTTTTTCTTTTTTCTGTGGTATGATACATTAATGTGAAATATAAATGCAAAAATAATTCTCCCAGCTACATTAAAAAGCAGATGTTTCTGAAGTGGAGATTCTTATAGTCTTTATTGATTTTTTTTTTTAATGTTTTCACCACATTTATCAAAATCTGCAGGTTATTAAAGAATATCTTACATCTCTGATATCTGTGCATGTGCAGCACATGGTTTATTTTTATCAAGAAGCAAGGTGGCAGAGTTATGATGAAGAGGCCCACAATGCTCATAATAAATCCCTTTGTTTATGAGATGAGAGCCTTCCTCTCCCACAGTATACAGCCTAGGGAGAAGACCTTCCCTTTAATATAAGGGTGATTCTTTGTCTGTGACTCACATTAAAGGGGGAAATGGGACTCTAAAAACCCCTGCCTTCAACCTGTGCATCTGCAATCACATGAAATTAGAGGTGTTCCCACAGTGTTTTGACTTAGAGTTTTAAAAATAGCTCGCATATGCCCTTATTTTGTTCTACTGCAGTTGTCGGGGTGGCTGAGGCCAGCAGATAAATGCATATATCCTTGAGATTACTTGGTCTCCATATGCAGTGCACCTATATTGTCTCAGATGTTTAATCTCCCACAAGATATATGTCATGTGCATTTGTCAGATCACCGGGCAAACACTCTCTATGTGACTGGTAGCCTGGCTGCCATGACCACAAAAATGCAGACAACACATGCGCAACGTAATCTCCGCTGAGACCTGCAACATTCATATGATGTAAATGCAAAACAGCATGCGTAATTGCATTCCAACATACCCCAATAATTTTGCTCTATGGCTAGATTTTGAAACCAGGTAAAGTATTGCAAGAAATTAAAACAATAGCATCCCATTCCTTTGTTTGTTTCTGGAGATACTTTAACATATTTTTTTATACTTTAACTTTTCATTTGATTTGATTTTTTTTTTTGTGGCAAAATTAAATGCAAAAAAAGAGAGCGAGACAAATGCACACAGCTGTAAACTGCACTGCGCTGAGTTAAAGTGGCAAACAGCTCTTGTTTCTTTTCATTTCTTCTCTTTTTTTCATTTTTTTTACTTCAGGACTTAGAAAGAAATCTTTAGTCCCTGCTGAGATGGAGATGGATGTGTGGCTGCCCTTCCTCTTTGATTACACCCAGCTTTGCAGAGTCATCCTAGATGAGAAGGGACCAGCCTTTTCCCAGATCACCTGCAACGGTGAGCTGCAAAAATTCGTCTGTAACTGTATGTGCCCACCCCCCACCCCCTTTCCCATCTTTGTTTTCACTCTGACCTTCAGAAGATGCACACAAAGGCTCCCCTCAGCTCAGGCTGCTTGCTTTCCTTAAATAAGAGGAGAAGGGATGAGCAGAGAAAGGGCAGCTCTTTCAGCATTCAGAATAATGATCAGCTTTTCTCATCCCTGCATATTACAAGTAAATTCTCACAACAGTTTGCTCAGTAATATATCACCCAAACACTCTGTCAGAGCTGAGGCCAGTGTCTGATTTGATGCATGTCATATAGACTAAAAGTTCCCCCAGGCCACTTCTTTATGTAGCATAAGTATTGATGCGCCTCGTGGAAGCAGCATCAGTGTTGCAACACATTGCAGATTGGTGAGATCCTGCACAAGGTGTGTCCTGCGGTAGGTTTTTCTTTTCCTTTTTTTCCTCCTTTTTTTTTAACTAAGTGGGTGTGGCTTAATTCTTCACTGCACCAAGGCAAAACTTCCACTGGATATCTGTGTGATAGGTCAGCTCCAAACAAGCTCCAGCAGCGGACACAAAGTACTGCACCTCACACATTTCTGGTGTACATTAATCCCACTTTTATTTTCCACAGAAAAAAAAAGATGTTAGTTTTTTTCTGATCTGTTTCGGTTACATTTTAAAACCATTCTATGAAAAACTGTAGCACCAGAGCAGATTTCTATTGCCCGTTCTTTGATAAAAATTTCAATTTTGTGCTATTTTTCAGTTTTTATCAGCTCGGTTTGGGGAGAGACATTTCTTGTATATAAAAAAAGAGTAGCACTTCATTTCTTCTTCCAGTCATTTGCAAAATAAAACAGATAAAATTTTATATCTCTTTTCTTTTTCGTTTAAATCACAACAAATACATTTAAAGCAAATAAGAAATTAGGCGGTATTTAGCATAATCCAAGCAGGGAATCGGCTTTCATGATGATTATTATATATTTATATATTCATATGTATACATATCTATATATATATATATTATGTCTATATACAAGTATGGCACTTGATTACACAAAAGCAAGAAAACACTTCACAAATAAAAGCAGTGGGCGCTTTGGTGTGTCATAAATTAAGGAAATCACAGACGTTAGCGTTTTGCAGCAAATTCACCAGATACTGTTTTGCAAGTTAGCTATTAAGCAGTGGAATGGATACATGTGTTAAGGTCAGTGGTGCAACACAGGCAACAAAAAAACATGAAGTAAGCTGATGTGTTTTATCTACGCTGAACCATAGTCAGTAAGGATTTATATATCTATATTTATATATAAATCTGGGTGGTTGATTTTTTTTTCCTTTGTATGGTGCCATTTAATTAGGTTGGTGCCAAAAACAAAACAGGTGGAAAGAAAATGTCTTAAAAACACCGTCAGGTCAGTAGCACATTTGGATAAGGTCAGGCTCTCAAGTGTTCACCTCTTAGTGCAATTATTTTTGCATTTACTCTCTTCAAGTACAGCAGAACAGCCCCAGAGTAAATATGTGAACACGTTAACATGGTCTCCGTTTACCATCCTACAGAGTATAAACGTTACTAAAAAGTTGCATCAGTGCAAGAATAAATAAGTAAACAAACGTGTAATCCACGCTTGCCATGAAGTCTGTCAAAGACCAACAAATTAAAAAAAAATTGCCCACTCTTTAAGTCATGACACGAATTCGGCGTGCACAGCTGTCCATCATGTCCATCATGGTTTTTGTTTTTTGTTTTTTACATGTTTTTTTCCACGTGTGTTACACATAAGCTGAGTCACTGGATTGAGTGCGGCCAAAATTAGGCACACTCATCCTTGGCAAGTCCTTATTTCTGATTTCATAAATGGACTTTCGCCGAGCCTGCACGCCTCGCACGGCCGTTTTGATTTTCCGCCAGCCCAAGTGATTGAGTTCTGCCAGGTTCAACACCACACAAAACCCACTGACAGCGAACATGAAGACCAGGAACACCGTCTTCTCCGTGGGTCTGGAGACGTAGCACTCGACATCTTTTATGCAGGGGTAGCGATCACATTCATACACCGAGGGGACGTTGAATCCATACAAGAAATACTGACCCACCAAAAAGCCTATTTCCAGCGCGTTTCTGAAAACCACCTGGATGATGTAAAACCTGGAGATGCCCTCTTGCCTCCTCATTTTGGACTTTGTAGTTCTCATGGCCGAATTGGGGATCTCTTTGACTTCTAAACAGTCTGGCTCGGCTTCTTTGGTGGAGTTCTCTGTGTTCTGAAGTACTCCATTAACAATGGTGTTCTTTATCTTTTTGCTCTCGTCTCGTTTCAGCGAATCTTGATCCTTATCTAGTGTCAGATAGACTGTTGAGTAGCGCCGCTCCTTCTGCTTGGCCGACTGATGCACCGAGTATGTGATAAAACAAAGGCTCGGAGTGCACACCATGATGATTTGAAAAACCCAATATCTAATGTGTGAAATGGGGAATGCCTTGTCGTAGCATGCCTGGTTGCAACCCGGTTGCAAGGTGTTACAAACAAACATGGTCTGCTCGTCATCATAGACAGTCTCTCCAACTATCGCTACGATTAGAATCCGGAAGATGACCACCACTGTTAGTAGGATCCTAAAAAGCAAGCAAACAACAATGTGAAAATACGTGTAAATATGTACGGTTACTGTAAGCGTGGTTCAGTTGTGCGCTGCCTCGGTGGCTGATGCGCTTGGAGTCAAAATCTGGCGTGTTGGTGTAGGGAGCTGTCCAGTGCTGAAACAGGACGCTCTTTGACGTGTTATGTGCTTCTAACAGCGTTATTCTCTCATGGATAATGTCACGTCTGTATATAGAGCGTGTGTTTTATGATTTAATGGGAATGACATGTAGGAATCGGTGTTGCCGTTACTGTACCTGTGTGTGCTTTGTTAATGGAAGGAGGTGATAACGCCGACTCTCGTTCAATCTTTGTCTGCCACCCATGAGTGCACAACCACCACTCAAACTCACCACCAAACATCAAATGGATAAATGGATGAATGAACACATGAAACGACACATGGATTTTAGTTTAGGCTTTCAACTTTGCAGCACCATCCCAGGTTCTGAAGAGACAGCTGTTAACTGATCTACTCAGCTGTCTCGCTTAGGAGGAGGAGGACGACGACGACAAAAAAAGGATATCTGTGGAACAAGACAGAAAAATCCACAACACAGACACGAAGACTGGGCACCATGCTACAGAAGATCCTGGAGGTAAAAGACAGAAACGGGGGACTGGGAACCATGCTAAAGACGATCCTGGAGGCTGCTGCGTTTCTTCGGTTGATCTTGGTTTTTGTTGGTCATCTTACCTTCCAATCATAGTAGAGTGCTGCTGGACAGCAGCCTCCAGGAGCCTCTCTAGTATAGTCCATTCCCCCATTTCTGAGCATCCGGAGGAGACGAGAGCGCAACGGCACTGTGTTCAAATCCCTCCAAAAAGAAAGGGTTTTATTTCCCGTCCGGCTTCTTTCTGTCTATTGCTGTTGTCAGTCTCCACAAGGCTCAATTTTAGCTAAAAAAAAAATGCATCCGTCACGGGATGCTGCTACCGTCCTCGTCTCTCTCTTTCTCTCTGCGCGCTATCTGGTTGGTTATGCGCTGAGCGCGCAGCGCCAGTCCTGCTGTGTGTGCCGAGCGCTCCCACAACGTTGCCACACTTTTCCTTGTCATGAGAGTCTGAAGGGCTGATTACTATAAGCCCTCCTATTTTCGATCTTCAGATCAGTTTGATGGGCTGCGCGCTGCGTCTGGATGGAGGGAGGTTGGATTTAATGTCTTGCCAGCGTTAATCCGCCTTTAAGTAGTCTTCCCCCTCCCTCCCACGCGTCACGTACGTGCAGACAGGTCGGTGGAGAGCAGCCAGAAGTATCAGGGTTTCTGATTTCCAGGTACTTAGTTTGGGACATAACGTGCACCGTCCAGTGGACTCTGCTGTAGACTAGGGTGTCCAGAGTGCTAGAATCAAAGGTTTATACATTTTTGCATAGCTTGCTTGAATCAAACCGGTACACTGTATTGTTACTTAACAAATTGAGGTACAAAACTGCACGTGCAGCCACATACAGCAACATCTATATTTTCTGGACAGTGCTTGTGGGGGCACCGTGTTCTGAGAACAAGGTCAAGGGGACTTTTCTGGGATTTTTTTGTTTTTGTTTTTTGTTTTTTTGTTTTAGTTTATAGATAAACACACTTACAGGCAGGCTGCGTCTACCTAGTGTTTCACATTGCATCAGTTTTAACAAAATCTATTGTTTTATCTGCGGTTCTAGGTTATATCTGAAACACAAAGCGAATGCAGCTTTATGGGCTAAGTGGAGGCAGTATTTCTTTCTTGGAGCAGACAGCTTTACATACCCGGAGGATTCCTCCCCATGTCGCCGTCATCTTTGCCCGGTTGGTAGCTGTTGTTTCCACCTCGGGCAAAGATGATGCTCTGGATACAGTGACAGAGTGAAAGTACCATCCGAGCTGCTAATCGCTTTACAAGGCAGCCTGCCTGTCTGCCTGCCTCTCTCTGTTTGTGTGGAAGTTTAAAAATAGAAGCAAAATATGTGACCCCGCCCTGTATAACGCTCCGAGGCTTCAACCTATGGCACGGCACTGTGTACTCGTGCTAATATTAGACTATTGTGTGGTTTATAGAACATGTTAAGTCAAAGCGCCCCCCCCCCCCAAAAAAAAAAAAATGTATATGTATATATACATATACATATATAGGAGCTTTATTACACAGACCTCTTTATATTAAAATTATAGCTGGTTTCAAACACTTTGTGTCCCCATATATCTGCATTTCTTAACCTCGGAGACGTGGTTTTCTGGTCACGTGACGGTGGCGTTTTCACTAAATGAAACTTTGCTAGGTTAATTTCTCATGAGGTGGCTTATCCTCTCCGCTCACTGTAATCTTTTCTAATTCAAATCTTTAATAACCTTTACTCATCCGTCACGTGATGAAAGGGCAAAGCTTTGGCGCTTAAGAGAGAAGGAAAGAAAGGGGCTGGGCAGGCTGTTTGTTTATTAATAAACTTGTACATCTTCACATAAAATTGCACTTGTGTAAACAAAAAACATTAACAGCAACGCGCGAATTGCTGCTTTTAGTCGTAACTTCGGCTGTAATAAAGGGTGAGGTAATAAAGGGTGAGTGCAATGCGGAGGTGGGCAGGTGGACTCTTAGAAGCACTTCCTGTGGACAATGGAGGGTCCAGCCTCGTCGTACTCCTGCTTGCTGATCCACATCTGCTGGAAGGTGGACAGCGAGGCGAGGATGGAGCCGCCGATCCACACAGAGTATTTCCTCTCAGGGGGGGCGATGATCTAAACACAAGCACGTTTGTCAACTTGGGAAAATTACAAATAAATGTGTTATTCAACAGTGTGTTAAGTTACCTTAATCTTCATGGTGCTGGGGGCGAGAGCTGTGATTTCCTTCTGCATGCGGTCAGCGATACCCGGATACATGGTGGTGCCGCCGGACATAACGTTGTTAGCGTACAGGTCTTTACGGATGTCAATGTCGCACTTCATGATGCTGTTGTATGTGGTTTCGTGAATGCCAGCGGATTCCATTCCTTGGCAAACACACAGAACAAGTGAGTGGGTTTTTACCTCGTGCAGCAAAGTACACATCTGACAGCGCGGTCAGCTGCCACAACAGGTGCTGAAAGGGACAGCTCCGCCAACAGCTGATGTTTGCGGAGCTAAGGTCAATGTGAAGTGGAAGGCACTGCTTTAGACAACTGATATGCATTTAACGGTAATAAGGTGGTAAATCGGTGATGGATATATCTGAAGCTCCACTTGGTTGCCATAGTTAGTCAAAAATGTGAGAAATAGACGTGTATATGCTTAGAAAACAATTCATGTACAAATGTGGGGTAGTATTCTATGAATAGGCCTAAGGAATAATTAACAGTTATAAGCAAGCATTAAATATTGAGAGCCATATTAAAACCCAGACTGATTCTTTGACTGACAGCTACCCCTCCTGCTTCACGATTGGTTCACATTAATATTGTAACAAGTTCCAGCAATGGAAGGAATTGAGCTGATCGAAACGTTCCTTACACCAGAAGAAAGTGAGTTTAACAGTCAGTACATTGCAGTGAAGGTCAGACTATACGTGAATGACTATTGCAGGGACTTACAGTTAATTCAGCGCGACATTTCAACAGTGTCACTGCAATTAAATTAGTGCTTAGATGTTGTGTTCGCTTTTACGCACCAATGAATGAGGGTTGGAAGAGGGTTTCCGGGCAGCGGAAACGCTCATTGCCGATGGTGATGACCTGGCCGTCGGGCAACTCGTAGCTCTTTTCTAGAGAAGAGGATGAGGCGGCGGTGGCCATCTCATTTTCAAAGTCCAGAGCGACGTAGCACAGCTTCTCCTTGATGTCACGAACAATCTCGCGTTCAGCTGACGGAGATAGACAGGCGCGTTGTAGTCAGAAAAAATGTACTTTGGACACAAGATAAATCTCTCGTCTGATACCGTGTTATAATAATTCTTTGTATCTTTATACCCGTGTTGATTGTTGAAATAAAACAAAATAAAAGTAAAGTAAAAGTAAATGATGTTTGAGTGATGTTTTAGTGCTTTACAGGTCGCCCGTGTTTGAAATTTGTGACTAACGCTTTACACTCACCGGTTGTGACAAAAGAATAACCACGCTCCGTCAGGATCTTCATGAGGTAATCTGTGAGGTCACGGCCGGCCAAGTCTAAGCGCATGATGGCGTGGGGAAGAGCGTACCCTTCATAGATGGGGACATTGTGGGTCACACCATCACCGGAGTCAAGGACAATACCTAGAGCCAACAGAGAATATGTAAACATTTAATGTACCTTTTTTTAATCTACTCAAATGCTGCACAGCACCTGTCGGAGGTCTGTGTCATACCTGTGGTACGCCCAGAAGCGTACAAGGACAGCACTGCCTGGATGGCCACATACATTGCGGGGACATTGAAAGTCTCAAACATGATCTGTGTCATCTTTTCTCTGTTGGCCTTTGGGTTGAGGGGGGCTTCTGTCAATAGAGTGGGGTGCTCCTCTGGGGCCACGCGCAGCTCGTTGTAAAAGCTGTGGTGCCAGATTTTCTCCATGTCGTCCCAGTTGGTGATGATGCCGTGTTCGATGGGGTACTTTAGTGTCAGGATTCCTCTTTTGCTCTGGGCCTCGTCCCCGACGTAGGAGTCCTTCTGGCCCATACCAACCATGACGCCCTGAAAACATCAGGAATCGGTGAAGTGATGTAGTGAAGGATTTACTGATGATTAGAACAAAACATGGCTGGTGGGTTTCCTCCAGTGTAAACAATAGATGCGTGCGTAATTACGCACAACTCTGCTTATCCTTGCAAAGCCTTAGATTATTTTTGATTAAGTATAAATCATGCATACACGTCTCTACAGTGCCACTGTTGTGTTTATGAACAGTTTAAATTACCTGGTGACGTGGGCGACCAACAATGGAAGGGAACACCGCTCGTGGTGCGTCATCTCCGGCGAAACCCGCCTTCACCAGTCCAGAACCGTTATCACACACCAGGGCTGTAGTCTCCTCGTCGTCACACATGGCGGCAGGTCTGCAACAGACAGGCGGATGCGCGCACGAGCACAATTAGTTCCGATAACAGTTGTCCTGTTCTTTTTGTTTTGTTGTGGGGTTTTTTGTTGTTGTTGTTTTGTTTGTTTGTTTGTTTTTTGATTGGGGGATTAAAGAGGTTCCCTTCTCTTTATAGGTTCAGCGCAAACAGCACACATAAGATCGTTTTTGGTGGATCCTGAAGCCTGGTTATGGATAATACTAAATTAGTTTTATGTAATACATCACATAACAAACTACTTATTTCACGAATTTGAGAGTTGTTTATTCAGATGTTTAAGTCACTAACACTAGCGCTGTGTAGCGTAAAAGCGTTGTTAGGACTTTGCATCAGTTGTAATCCACAAAAGAAGTTGATGATCCACATGTCGCTTTTGATGAAATGATCGGTTTAATTTAGATAATGATTCTTGTAAGTAAAAGATGGAGGTCATTGCCGTTTGCATTAAAGTCCTGGATCGATCCTAGTGTAATAAATCCAGTGTTTGTCATTTTTTCACTCCCGTTTGATCAGCTGTGAGTACTCACCAGATCAGCACCAGAGGCCGACTCTTGAGTGTGTAAACCAGGGGTGCTGAAATGTCATGCCCCGCCAGTTTATACTCTGACAGTGTCCACGAGAAGGGGCCAACCAGTGCGACCCCTTCTCCATATTTGGTAGCCCACTGCCCCATTGACAACAGCTTCTCCATGAAAGGCATGACAAGTAGAGGGATATCCCCATCTGTGCCTGCTCCCCATTTATGGACGACAGGGATGCGGACAAAGAGACAATGAGAGGCTTTCTTTTGATCCCTCTCGATAAATCACTGTAGGATTATTTAGAAACATCGCCGTGTCTGGAAAAGTTCTAATCTAGTCACACATTTCTATCTTACAGAATTGTTTGAACCCAGCCAAACTAAGTAAATTCCTACATTTAAACATGGGTTACACTTTCCTGTATAATCATTGTTTACACAATTCTGTCCATATAAGTACTGAAAGATGTAATATTGGTCAATATATGCACAGCTTTTTTTTTCTTTTTTCTTTTTTGCTATTGTAATATATTTGCTTGTAGATTTAAAGGACACAGCCTGTGCCAAGTGTAGAGACCACTTGTGCCACAAACCTGGTGTGAGCAGCTCTTTGACTTTTTAGA